CTGAAGGAGACGTGCCCCTACTCTCATAGAAAATAGACATGAAAGGAAAACACAGTCATTTTGTTAAGTCAGGTCTTTGTAAAAATGCTTTCATTAAATCCGTATGCTATTTTGGTTTAGCCGTGAGCCTGCAAAGGTGCTGGTTTTATTCCTCTTAGAGGGATCTTTTCTGAATGCTTTTGGACTTCCTCAATGATATGCAGTGGCGTTCTGGCACACGCTCTGCGTCCAACACATATCAAAATTATTTCACGTGTTTGAGGTCAAGGGAAGTTATTCATGACTTTTTTTTTCCTTGTGTTTCAGTAACTGTGAACATGGCAGGCAATATTGCAAGCCCATCTATGATGGCCATGTTTGCTAGGTCACAGGAAATACGTGCTGTGCTTTGAGATAGCAGTAGCTCATCTGGTGTGTTCTCTCAGATGAGAATATTTTGGAGGAGGCTGGGGAAATGGATTTAATAATAGAAGGCTTTCATCTCTTGCTCAATAAACCTGCTGTTGACAGGCAAAGCTAGACAAGTTCAGGTAAGAAATGAAATGTGATTCTTTTTTATGCAATGGTGTGGGTAACTGACCGCTGCAAGAATTGCTAAGGCAAGCTGCTGAAAGAACGTTTCAAGCTGGAGTTATCATTTTCTGAAGTACATCGTCTCTTCTTTTTGGCTACAGGAATTGTTTCAGGAGAATCCTGTGTCAGATTGTACGCAGGAAGCTAGGCTGAATGGTCTCACAGGTGCTTTCTGTCTCTCTGTTTCTATTTATTTGAATGTGCCAAATATTCAAGAGGAAAAAAAATCAATGCAACTGTTCTATAAAGGATGTTTTCAGGTCTGCAGTGTTCAGACCTACCGACCTGCTGCTGCCAGCCAGGAGTTATCAAATTGCATATGAAAGAACCACACCAATGACTAAAGAGCTTATTTCATTGACAAGTGCTAATCAGATTTTCTGGATTAATTTCTTAGTGCATCTCTGGAACTGGGGAGGCTGTGAATATTACTTGTCGTGCTGTGGACTGGCCTCTCCAACAAATAACTCAGGCACATGAGCAAGTGACAGCAGGAGAGCCAGCTGCTGTGCAAAGCTATTGCAGCTTAACAACCTGAGCCTGCAACAAGTGTTAAGGTCGCTGATTAGATATAGCACACATCTAGCTCTGCCAGCCATGAGCCTTTAGTGCAAGGTGCAGTCCAATCTGTGCCTTATATCTGCAGTCACCAGCAGTGCTTGGTTTCCTTGAGCAGAAAAATAAAGCATGTCATTGCTTGCATTAGATGTGTGGGTTGTGAAGAGTTCTCTTGCTGTCGTTAACCACACAGGGAAAGTGTTTTGTTTGTTTTAACATACAGCGGGATTCCTTCTGCACAAAGACAAAGGGCTGTGATTTCTTCCTGGAGTTTTCTGCATCTTCTTAAAATGATCCTCTGGCTGAGTTCTCATGTGACATAGCTGGCTGGAATGTGATGGTGGCAGTTGGCCTGGCAGAAGCCAAAGTCAATAGACTGTCATCCTTGGCTGTTAGGGCTCTTTCAGTGAAAGAATGACTGGTAATATTGGGCCTCTTCCACTCATACCCAAGAAATCCAGGCTCCCAGTCTCAGAGCGAACTGGATCCTTGTTTCTCCTACTTCCAGAAAAGCAGCAGTGCAGCAGCATGCATAGCTCTACTGGGGCACAGAACTAGAAGCTTTTATCCCCCGTGTTATTACAAAGCCATCAGAGGGAAGGGAAATCCCTGCAGAAGGGAATCTTTTGTGTAATGCATGAGCTCCACATCCCGATCAGCTCTGAGAGCAAAAGCTAGAGCCCATTTACCTCCTAATGACAGGCAGCCATTGTATTCCTTTTGCCTTGGAGCCTGTGATTGCAGAGCTCTGGGTGTTACCTGGCATTTATGACAGGCGGTAGGAGAGAAGACAGCATGCCCTCATATGTTCTGACCCTTTGTCACTACCACATGTGTGAACATTTGTTTCTGGCACCAATCTGACCTGTAGAATTGACTTCCAGAGAATTTTCACATTGCCATGGTTACAAACATGATGCAGATACAGTGCAGGCACTCATGTGTCCTCTTAGAAAAACAGATCTCAGATTCCTTTGTGCATGTTTAATTCAAATGCATTTCTCAGAAGACCATACACCTGCTTATAACCTCAACCACCTCTGCTTTTGAGACTCTCCAATCTGAGTTGGTTTGTATCCACTATGTTGCTTATGCTTTTTCTAAACCCCAGAGCCTGGGTTTATCTCTCTCTCTCTCTCTCTCTCTTTTTTTTAAAACGCTAATTAGTAATTAATGTGACTTTAAATGACATTAAAATGACTTTTTTGGACACGTGGTGTTTTGCGTATGCAAAACAGATTCCTCATTATATGATTGTGATGATAAATAATAAGCAATTCAGTAAAGTTGAATATCCTTTTTTCCTGGGCTGTTTGGTTAATTCTGCTAAGCAAGCAAATTTTGAGCTATGACTTTTCTCCCCCGCCTCCTTTTCTTGGATGAGATTGGAGAATGAGGAATATCAAGATTCAAGGATCATGGAATGAATCATAGAATGGCTTGGGTTGAAAAGGACCACAATGATCATCTAGTTTCGACCCCCTGCTAAATGCAACCCCTGCTAGGATGCAACATGTGAAAAGCAAACCTGATGCAATTTCCTTCTCTTTTTCAGGAAAAACTATTCTGTGATGAAGTGAGTCTTTCCTTAAAATCTCCTTCTCCTTTACAGCCATCTGGCCATTGGATGAGTTCGTCAGGTGCTGAATGGGTGCTCAGTCAGTAACGTTCTGACATATTGCAGCTCATCAGGAGGACTGTCTCAGACACCTAATATAACTCTGTCCAGTATGTGTTGTACTATCTCATAGCAATGATATTAAAGGATCAAAGGATCGCTGTTGCATCTTTGTGTTCTGCATTGCTCTCCAGGTACTTATAATTTTCTGCAATGCTTGCAGCTTATTATGGATTACTCCAATGTATCTCTCTTCTGGAAAACAAGTCTTTTCAGCCTTGTCCCTTTCTCTGCACTCTGTGCATGTGTCCCCCATCTGCAGTCCTTTAGGAAGGGACTGTGCATCTTGGCTTTTTTTTTTTTTTTCAGTCTTTGCCATGAAGAATGAAAATCTAGTTTGCTCTCTGGTTACAATTAGGACAGAAACATCACTGGCAGGGATTTGTCCATCACTCGTGGGATATACTGCCAGTACGCTGTTACTGCGATGCATAGGATATTTAGATTATAAATACACAGTTATTGTCTGAGCTAAAAAGTCCTTCAAGATGTTCAAGAATGAAAAGTAGGGTTGCCTTTGACCTCCAGATGTGACCCTCATGATGAATGAGTAGGAAAGGTCTTCTGATCCGTTAGCATTGATGTTATGGGTGTCATAGAGTCATAAAGCCATGAAGGTTGGAAAAGGATCACCCAATCCAACCACCAGCCCACCCCCACCATGCCCACTGACCACATCCCTCAGTGCCACATCGCCATGGTTCTTGAACACCTCCAGGGACGATGACCTCACCATGAGCAAGAGCTTCTCCAAAGGGAGGACTCTGTAGTCATGTCTCTTGGTCACGAGGGCAGGATCTGTAGTCAGGCATCATGGTAGCACATGCAGGGGCTGTAATATTTCTTCTTGACTGATTATAAACTGCAGTGAAAGGCCACCCCTCTCCACTGCACATGGGTCACCCATATGCTAATCATCTACGTGCACCTCGCTGCAAAGTTTGCAAAGCAAACACTTTTTTTATTTTCCCCAGAAAAATGAATTACAGGTACTTTAATCTCCTTGCTGTATGTACACAAATACCTTCACAGCCAGAAGCTGATGTGACATCTGCTGTGCAAATGTTGCTCTGGGGCTGCGGAGTAATATTTTGTCTGCATTACTCAAGTCTTCTGTGGTCTCAGTGCTGACTCAAGCACTTGTTATTCCAACACACTAATGATAGTTGCTATGGGTGTTCCCTTCCAACTCTGCGTGTCTGTTCTGAGAAGCATCATCCATGTCCAAGAGCAAATCTCACTGGGACTGGTACATGAAACCATATCAGCGTCCTGATTCTGTTTGCATTCAGTCATGTCTTCACTCTCATGGGCTGCAAGTACAGTGAAAGACTCCAAAAAATGCCCATGTCAGAGGGAGCCAGCCCTTTTTGCACTCTTGCACCAAGAAATATTTTGACATACTGTCCAAATCTCTGTTCTGCATCTGCATGCTCTGTTCTCCACGGCCCCTCTCCGCGGCATCTCATTTTATCCCCGTGGAAGAAGGAAATCTGTTGACTTTTTATTCTCAATGAAAATCTGATTAAACCTTCACTCGTGGCAGTTGGTTCTTTTAGAATTGCAGAATGTCAGGGATTAGAAGGGACCTTGAAAGATCATCAGTTCCCCTGCCAGAGCAGGAACAGCTGGATCAGGTCACACAGGAACATGTGTATTATCCTATGTAATAATAGGCTTAGAGCATGTTACCCTTAAATCCATGTTTATGAGCAAAGAGAAAATATACACAAAAACAAAAAATTGTTACTGTTATTGAAATCTTAACAGTTTAAGAATTTGTTCTCATTCAATTGTTATAGAAGGGGAAATATATATATATGTGTATACATGCATACACATATAATGTTTTAATGAAACAGTTAAAATATTATAGTCACACTTCCTAGCACCTTCCCCTTTTCTTGCTTCTATGCTCACTTTTCCACTGCTTCTCTGGGCCCTTAGGTTGCTGTCTTCAGCCTGGTAACAGGCATGTTTAGGCCATTTGCCAGCATCTGGGGGCATTTACTAGGATGACTGTTGGCTGCTGCTGCTTTACCACACTGTGATTCATCTGGGTCTTTGCATGATTTTTGCTTTTGCAAACCATGTATTCTGTGTATGATGTACTCTACACATGTTACTTGGGAGGGGGAGGGGGGAAGGGGTCTCAATGTCCTTCTTGCCCTTCCATCAACATGTGGGGAAACATGATGTAGTGGGCATGGTGGTAATGGGTTGACGGTTGGACAAGTTGATCTTAGTGGTCTATTCCCACCTTAGTGATGCTGTGATTCTATGAGATACCTGGGGATTTGTGCTCCAGGGCAGCACAGCATTTCATTTCCTGGATCTTCTCTTTGCCATCATGTGCTAGAATTACTGGCAATTGTCAAGCGTTTGGTGCTACGTGAAAATAGTCTAGAAGTGTTCTCAAGGGTGGAGATCATCTCGAGCAACAGCTGGGGGAAATAAGCCCATGCTCAGAAGAAGCTTATTTCTCATCGTGGAGGAATGTGAAGATTTCCTGGCATACACCTTACTGTCAGCAGCTTAATCTCAGGTGAGTGACAAACTAGGCTGACCTTTGGACGATCCCTCTGAAATGAAGGATAGGCCTTCATAGTTGAGCCTGTTTCCTAATCTGGGGCAGTGAGACGTCGGGACTTGAGCAATTTTCAGCCTCAACTCTACCACAGAATGCGCACTTCTCAATACATTTACAAGTGCAGATTCAGCACGGAGGCTCAGGAATTCTTAAGGAAGCACAGCTGTGCTGAGGATGGAGTACATCCCTTGCAGCAGCCAATTGGTAGATGATGCTGAGCTGCTGAGGATGTTTGTGAGCCCAGCTCTCTGCTTCCACATCCCACTGGTAGCAGTGCCCACTAGGTGTCAGGATTAAACAAACGCAAGGCTGATGCAGTGGAGAAAGAAATTCTTCTGATTCTTAGCATTTTTAAAAAAATTCCTGACTTCTACCCTGCTGCGCCATAAAATAATTGTGGGGAAGAAGAAATAACTTGTGGGGATAGACCTGTTTGTTTGAAGGCTGGAGAGAACAGGGGAAGAGAAAGGAGACATGCAAAAGAGTCATGGCCTACCCAGAGTGCTTGCATTATATGAGCTTATATTCTGCTCCAGGCACAAAGTTAATTTTACTTTTTAATGCTGAAGTCAGTAGCCTGTTCTCTTTCCTCCATGATAAACTGCTGCTTTTTGATGAAATGGTCATTTGTCACATTATCCATCCGTGAGTTGCCTTGGACTAAGGCTGTAAGATGCCTTTGGTGGGAGCAGGATGCTGGTTGTAGAAAGGGAGTGACTGTAGAGCTGCAATTTCTAGAGGCTCAGGTTTGATAAAGGGCTGTGGGACCTGGAGATTTTCTGGGCCATTTGATGGAGTTTTCTGCAGCTGATTCTAATGGATTCATGGGTCAGGGAGTACTTAGACACAGCCTCTCCACAGCCTTCAAGTACTGCTTGTTTTTCAGACCTTCATGCTGAAACCAGATGCAGCTGCATGTACCCACCTTGACCACCAACATGTGGTTCTAGGGATTCATCTGGATGTTCATTGCAGAGTATGTCAGGAGGAGGTGAAACTGGAACCAACAGGGAGAAAGTTGGAAACTGGGATGTTCTGTTGGCTTCCAGAGTCTGGAGAGGTTCATGGCATTAGCTGGCTACAAGATCTGGGGCTGCAGCAAAAGGCAACCTGAAAAACTGAGTCTGGCAGGATCCCAGGGACCACAAACAGTGATTAATGACAATTTTAAAAGGATCTTGTGTGTTTTCTTGAGAGTGAATCTTTTTGTAGGCAGTTGGGTAGGTGCTGCTGCTGGCTGAGCCTCCAGATCTGGAATAAATACTGAAGAGAAAGAAACAGCCTCCAAAAGTGAAGGCTATTAATTTAAATGGGGAAAAAAAAAAGTGAAACAAAAAAACAGAAACCAGCCCGTAATCTCATTAAAAATAGGTGCTGAGCAAAGGTGATCAGAAATATTTAATCCTGGAAATTAAAGCATCCAGCCTTGCGTCCACACTGAGCATACTGACTGAAATGATCTAGGAAGTACATTTGGCACATGGCAACATCATGAAGTCTTGCCAGTGTTGTTTTTGCAGAGAAAATTTTGGATGCATCAGGAAAGCAGAAGCCTGATGTGGAGTTCCCAAAAGCCTTCTGACAGGCCTTTGTGGAGAGAATGCCAGAGGAGTGACATAGGCGTGATCTAATGAAGCATCATGGCTCAAAAACAGGCATGTTTCTGATGAAACAAAATTACGAAGTGAGTGGATGGCACCTGACAAGTGCAGCTGGGGCAGAGTTGGTGGTTGTAGATAACCTCTGGGAATGCAGTGGATGGCTGTTGGGTGCCTCCACAAGCATCGTGTTTGTTTACAAAAGGGCTACGCCTGTGGGCAGCAAAAGCCTCAACACCAACCATGAAGGATGTTGAAACTAGATGAGTTTTGAGGTCCTTTCTAACTTAAGCCATTCTGTGACTCCACGTTTTCCTTGTGTGTCTTAAAGGTTTCTAATTTTCCTTGGTATTTGTATATTGAAGGTGGTTTTGTTCAAAAGTGAGACGTTGTCAGGTATTTTGTGAAATATGGAGGAGAAAAGAAAATGGAAAAATCTCTGGTGTGGTCACTGATGCAGGGGCTACAAAGGAATATCTTACACTGTTCCTGCTTAGCACAATGGCCTTAAAGAGTATTTTGAGGGGAAGAAACACTGAATTTATGAAATGTTAGAACTGATAACAAGAGCTTTTGATTTGATTGGTTTTCCAAGCTAGTTTAAAAATGGTATTTTATGAACTGTAACCCTTTTATCTTGTTGGAAGGAAATGAAACGAACGCTTTTCCATCAAACTGTTTCACCATCTCGAGTTCCCTAAATTTTAAAAGGTGTACCAGCCCTGATGGTGGATGGCCAAAGCAATGCCATTCTCTTTCTGTCATTGGAGCAAGGCAGCAATCATTTTTCAACATGTGAGCATAACCAGAGCACTTTGAGCTAGGCTAGGGGACAGTATCTGTTGAACCCTACGTAGCCAATAAAGTAGAAAGATGGGAGCATTGCCAGGGCTTGTATGGCAAGGGCACAACTGACCTCACAGAGGTGTGTGAGCATATATAAGAGATTCTTCTTGGATGCTGTCCACCTGTAGTTCAAAGAGTGTCACAGATTTAGTTCTTTCGCTACAAGAGAGTGGAAAAGGGCCTTAGCTTTCTGCTTCAGAATCCTTAAGAATCTCCTTAAGAATAACTGTTCATTGTGACTGTGTCATAGTAAAAGGACTTTCTCATTGCTATCTCTGATTTTACAACAGGCAGCGTTCTGACTCTTCTGAATTTCTTGTCCTTCTCTGGCTGCAACAACTCTCCTAGAAGTTGCCAGTGATCTTGTTTCCCTAAAAATCCCATCTTGGGGATAGCCTAGTATATACCGAGAATATTGCACGGTCCCACTGTGAACAAAAGCAGAGATACTCAGTGTGGTGCTCCTGCCTGCCATTGGCTGACATTTGCAGTGCTGGCTCTGCTGGAGAGCAGCTTGGAGCAGGAGACTGGAGTTCCACTGGGACGCACTGGTGGGCTGCAGCCTGCCATGCTTTGAATGCGAATGCTGCCAGTGATTCAGGAAGCTCCATCTGTTTTGTATTTGCACCCATGCTTGGTTTATGCAGCATGGCTCAGGGCTTCAGAGGCCGCTCTGCCCAAAAGCGTGGCTTGTGAACTCCTGGAGGAACTGCAAGACTTGGATCTGGATCTTAAATCCCTGGAATTTAAATCTCTTTTCCAAGGATAATTGATGCATCAAGGAATCAGTGCGTCAGGAATATTGGGTCTTTTGGCCTGCCTGGTGCTTTCTGGAACCTCGAGGTTCAGATCCTGTTCTGCTTTGATGCCAAGGCATAGAATCACAGAGTGGAAAGATGTGTTCTGAATGGCTGAGTTCTAGCGTGGGCCAACGCTCCACCAGTTTCCCTTACGTGAATCCCACCCATATAATGTAACCCCACGACATGGTGTTGCATGAAAATTCTGCTTCATGCAGCAAACAAATGCTTTGCAGTTATTAGAGAGCCATACTTACTCGCCAGCAGGGATTGCTGCCCAGTTGGCACCTACTTGTTCTTTTGAGCTCACTTTTAGAATAGAATTGAGCAAGTCAGTCACCATCTGGTTCCAAGACACTAAGTTTTGTGGAAAAAAAAAAAATAAAAGAAATCCTGGCTCCCCTCCTTTCCCCCCCCTCGTCCTGCTCTTCACTGATTCACAGCCAGTTCAAATGTGCAAGTGAAATGCAAGCTGAACACACAAAAGGCAGGGAGACGAGGCAGTTCTGAAACTAGGTTAGAGATGAAATGAGCCTGATATTTGGCAGTTGTAGGCAAGGTTGGATTACCCTGGGGAAAGGGCTTGAAATGATTAATGGAATGGTGTTATTAGCCTATCATGGGATTGCATTACTGTTTCAATTCTGAAGACAGAAATTGAGAGGAGCTGTGTGGGTGTGAATGATGTGCTGTGGAAGAGAGAGCACAAGAACAGTGCTTCCCAGAAGGCAAGTACATCCCTTATGGCAACCTCATGTTTGCTTTGTTGCACCCGGTGGGGTCTAAAATATGCCCTTCTCTACTACTTCATTAGTGATTCATCATTTAGTATTGGGTAAATCCATTTGCACAGCTCTTCTTTCTCATTCTAGGTGGCTCGGAAAGCAAAGAAGGCATTTCATTTTACGGACTGATATTTGCTCTTAGCTTTGTTGCCATCCAGAGAACACCTGAACAGAGCAGATCTTTTATTTTTTAATCGGGTCTGCTGGTCTTCCTACTGCCTTCTGGAACCTCAGGGTTCAGATCTTGTTCTGCTTTTTTTTTTTTTTCTGGCAGATTCTTATTTCAATAAAGCAGAATGTTGGTGTAAGTTGTTCAAATAGCAGCTAATGCTGTTAAGTGGTGTTGTGATCCAGTAAGAGATTGATCTTTGCTTATAACTGCTGTCAACCTCTTGGAGAGGGAAGCTTGGAGAGCAGCTTGCAAGAACTCTTGGTGTCTGCTGTTAGATTAATAGATTGGGGCTTGGAATGACTTAACTGTGCTTTTAAGGGTTTTCGTTTTGTTTTGTTTTTGTTTTTCACAGTTAAATATGCAAATACAGCACTGCTGATTAAGTCCAAATGTTTACAATACTCTTCAAACTCTTGTTCAGCAGGAGTTAGTTTGAAGAACCAGTTTCTTTGTTCCCATCAAATGACTTCCATATTTTCAGAACTAGAGACTCATGCATGAGATTTCTGGGGCTCCTGTGCCCTAACAAGTGCTTGCCTCCTGTTGCACAACCCTATAGCTTGAATTACATCATGAAGATGCAGTCTCCCAGAAGTTGCAGCTGATGGGAGCAGCTGGAGGCTGAGTATGCGTGCTCATGTACGTGTATATGGTCATAGATATAAAGGTGGCTGCCTTTAGAAAATTTGCTTTTCCATTTTTGCTCTGAAGTTCTTCATCTGTTGTCAATTAGGAGGATGATGGACCTTCTGCAGAGCACTGGCAGCACCATTCCGATTAGACAACTGAGATGGCCTTTGCACTTGAAGTTCTGTTGGAGAGATACAGCTCATTTTTCAATGTAAGGTTTGTCTTGCCTTCTTTGTACTCCAATGATAGCATGAACAAAGTTGGTTATTTCAAAGTCCTCTGTCAGGTATGTTAATGACTGTCACCCCTCACCCCCCCCCCCAAAAAAAAAAACCACAGCAAAACAAAACAGTGCTATTTCCAGGATTGTTTCCAGATGCAAAGATGTTAACATTTTCTTTGATGATCTATATTACATCTCCTTCTAATCAAGATCCCAATGATCTTTTGATTAGGAGAAAAGGATATACAGAAGTATTACTTGAGCTGGAAAAGAGCTATTTCTTTTGTTAAGTGGAGCTCCTTCAAATAAAACACCTTTTGATGGCATGGGATGCCAGTCACAAGGAGACACCTCCTACCCCAACAGGAGAGAGAAGAGTAATGGAGAACAGCTTCAGAGCTGCCTGCTCAGTGTAGGAGGACAGCTATGGCCATCCTTGCCTTCTAACAGCATAAGAACCCTGTGTAACCCTGGTGTTTACCCATGGGAAACAGCTGTACTTGCATTCATGGCACAGAAAGAAAGTAGTGAAATTTGCGTTTGCTTTAGAGATAAACTTCTGGAGCAGAAAAAATGCATTTGTTTCCAGCCTTCCATTGGATAGGGTCTTTTCTGTATTGAATAATGTGGAGTCCAGTACATTAAATTCAATATTTATCTTGGGCTTTTGGTTTTTAGCAATAGGCCGCAGACAGAGGAGCTCTCTGATGGAAGGAGCTGGTGGCTCAAAGCCTTCCTGTGAAGGGCAAACTCTTGTAGCACAGGTAATAAGCTAAGCCAGGGAAAAGGGCTACTGAGTGAGCCCTGTGGTCTGCACCCACCTCTCCTGACCCAAGAGATGATTCCCAGTCTACAGGAGTCCTATGGCATGAATGAGGTCTGAAAGGCCTTAGTGCTGCCTTTTTGTCTCCCACCAAGCTGTGTTAAACTACAAATTCCCACAGCTGGAGGAGAGAAGATAACAGCAAGAGAAATTACCTCTAATTCTTAAACTGAGTGAGATCTTTACCTGCTTCCAGAGGTCCTGCTCTCCTAAGCACTTCCCAGCTACAGAGAGCAGTGAGTCTGTACTTGAAAGGAAGACTGCAGAATGGGCAGCCAGCTGGGCTGACTTCATGCACACAGCCTGCCCAAGGCTGCTATTCATGCTGTCCAGACAGATCTTCTCCTGTCTGCTGTCAGCAGTGCTGTGAGTTCCAGAGCCTGCCTGTGGCACTGACAACAGATGTCTCTAGCAGTTCAAAAGCTTACACGATGCTCTGAGTTTCCCTCTCTGTGGTGTAAGCGGAAGCACAGGAAGATGCTGCTAAAAATATGTGATAAATCTTCTTCTCTGTGTTTTAATACGTTGCCTAAAAAAATCCACTTGGCAGCTTCTCAGCAGTGGAAGAAACCCCAGCAGCCTTAATACCAGATAGGACAGCACAGAAAGGCAGAGGCACAGCTAGAGCCGAGCTGTCACTTTAAGCAGGGATCTGACACGAGCTGGGTCCTCCCTCACAGACTGCTCACAGCAGTGTTCCCTAATGCTTTTTTGGTAAGATTACAAATCCTTTGCCTGCAATTTTTAATCTAGGGTTTAAGATTTCTAGCGCTCATTCCTGTAGGGTAGTGAAAATCTCACTGGTATTCTCTTCTCTGATGCTTAAATATAGGCAGTGAACTGAAGGTCTCCCATAAAATAGTTTTTTAATTATAATGGAAAGCACTGTGTTTGGTGACCTGACTTGTAGCCCAGCCAGGTCCAGTGGTGTGTTCAAGCCAGAATCAAGCCAATGCTACAGCCAGCTGAGATTCAGCTCTGCTTCCCACTTGCTTCCTACAGTGAAGCCTCTACAGAGTGACAGATTGCTGTCACGTCTGAAAGAAGCAGCAGGAAAGTCAGAAGCAAGTTTGGGTTGGTGTTAAAGCGGAGCTCCTGCAATGCATATTGTTCCTATGCAAAATAATGATCTTACAGTGCAACTGGTTCTGAAGAAGCAGTAGCAAAATCATGGTTGTGGACCATGAATTGACATTGCCCAATGCTTTTTGGGGATGCATATGTGTAAGCATGCAGCTCCCACTGGCACTTAGAGTAGCATACATGAGGTGGCAAGTTTGTCCTGCTTGCCAGGTTATCACCATAAAGATAGATAGTGCAGCTACAAAAAGCAAGTTTTTGAAAGCAGCATTTCTTTTTTTCTTTAAGAAAAAAATCTAATGTCTCAGGCAGGTTTTACGACTTCACTCATGCAAAGGATTCCTAGCAAATCAAAGATGATGACAAGATTGAGCCCTGCAGAATCTAAGTTCCCACAATTACTGCTGCAAAGAAAGCTTCCAAAATGCTGTCCAAGTGGATTTTATTGCCTTGGCTGACAAGTGACAGGCAGCAAACTGACTCAATTCCAGAGTTAGTCAGGTTTGAACTCTGGAACTTTTTTTTTATTTTCACTTCCTGGGAAAATGGCATTCAGTCATGTAACTCAAAATGAGTGACAAAAGTGGTTTGCTTTAAGAAAGCTGAAGTGGAACTGGGCCTGTAAATGTAATGGGGTGTTTGACAGTCGCTCTTCAACCCCATTTTCCAAACTGGAGTAATAATGAGTATTACAGCTCATTAGAGCTCAGCCTGACTCATGCTTGAGAGTCCACCAAAGCTGGGATGGTATTGGCTTTATCCATAGCAATCAGCATTTCTACTGCTGCAACAGCATTACTGACTCGCATGCATAAATCCCAGCAATTCTTAGTTTATATAGAGGGAGACAAGTTCAGTTTTGCAGAAGTAAATTGCAGTTGGGTGGTGCTTTTGTCACATAATAGGTGTGTTGCTCCTGGTGCTCAGGGCAGCATGTACAGCTCTCAGCAGAGGCAAAGCCACAGGTTCCTAGTTCCAGGAGAACAGCAAACTCTTTCTCTCCTTCCAGAGCTGCAGAAAGGCCACACAACAGCCATTTGTGATGGTTTTATCAGCAGGTGACTGAAAAGAAAGAGCAATGACTCAGATTGTGTGGGTTTGCTTGAATTGTTAAGGATGCAAAAGATTTGCAGTACATGACTTAAAAAAACAAAAATTATCTTCAGGCAGAAAAATCAGAAGGTTGCAGAAGACAGGCCATACACTTGGTAGATCAAGTGATCATTTTGCATCAGGTCCAGCTGTGTCCCAGCTATTAGCTAAAGTTACAGCAGTTACAGCAGCCACTATCACCCGCTCCTAAGAGTTGGAGACATGAGCACTATTTGAATTGACTGTTCATCCAACAGAGAATTTGGAGAAAATTAACTGCAGATGGAAATTTCTAGGGACTCCTTAATCCCTCTGCTGGGAAATGGAGACCAGAAGACTAGGTTCAAGTTGAAGGGTCTGCTCCTGCCAAAAGCACGTTGGTGCCACTTCTTTATTCACTGCTTTATTCCAAGGGCAAGGTATATGTTCCCCAGAAGGACTACTGATCTGTTCTTCTGATCTTACTGAGGGATCTGCTATTTTGGTGTGCAGAATGCTTGAACCTGACTAGCGAGGCTGGCTGTACTAGGTTAGATCCGAGACCTATCCATTTCTGTACATCTTTTGTGACAGAAAGCTGGCAATGCATACAGCATGGGACATTCCTATGCTGTGGTCCCTCTGACTTGGCCTTGGTAGTTTTCCTTGCATAGTGTGTTCAGTTACAGAATCATAGGAAAAGACCTCTAAGATCATCTAGTCCAACCTACCACCAGTGTTGCCCACTAAACCACGTCCCTAAGTGCTACATCATTAATCAGTTTCTGCAGTATATCCAACATCTCTCACCACACAGTCAAGGCCAGCCCCTCCTGCTGAAAGCTAGGAACACCTTACTACTCCTGCCTACACAGCAAACTCTTTCTCAAGTTGCAGCCTGGTGAGATAAATACTGGAGAAAGCGACTTCTGAGAATGGCCCTAGTTGGCAAGGCAGCAGTAAATGCCACCATTCACACTGTTAGAGGAATTAGAGGAATATTCCTATTGTTCGTGCTTGAAGAAGGATAGCAGGAAGAGAGGTTTTTTTCTCTCCACTAATGGCTCAAGCAATTAGCAAGATTTCCACTTTCATTGAGGGAATGATCACTTTTCCGTTCTGCTGAATTTCAGAATATAGCTTATCAGGGAGAGCAATACCAGAAGGAAGGTCAACAAAGTTCTTTACTCCAGAGTGCCAACTGAAATACTTTGATGTTCCAGAGCCATGGAGCTTTTGTTCAGTGAGCCGTCCAGCTCAACTTGGTGTGATGTGGCATGGGGTATTTAACAGAGATTGGCCCAGGCTTTTCTCTTTTGGAACAAGATCTCAGCTGGCTGAGCTGAAGCAGCAGCTCCTATAGCTGAGGCCCATAAACAGCTGTTACTGCTGTAGTATCTGCCAAGAGAGAAGGGAAGTGTGAGGACCATGGACTTGAGTTTGTTGCAGATATACTACCCTGGCTGAGCAAAAAAGCATCCTATTTTTATCAGCACAGAGAACATTCCTGCCCACCTCACAGGAAAATCGACCCTGCTACAGATTTCTTTTGCTGCTTTCCATTCCTGGGTGAGGCAAGAAAACAGAACTTCTGCAATGCCTTCGGGTTAAGTGCTAAAATCATGAATGCAGTTATGCAAATGTTGAAGTAACACGTACTCAAAGTGACAGCCTATTAAGCTGTTTTAATTCTCCGTGTTGTAAAGGATTTAGTAAACATGACAATGCAAAACCAGAATGAATAGGTGGTCAAAAAGTCTTAGGGATTCCCAAGGCATTCTGGAACAGATATGGGATATATTGACTGGAAAAGGTTACTGTTTAGCATGGTATTTCTTCATGCAATATGGTGATTTTTGCAGACAATTACGCTCTGCTAGAAGAATAAATTTCAGTGAACAGTTGATAAAATTCATAATTAATGAACTTGGCTACCACAGTTCTTACACTGTTCAAAAAGAAGACAGCATTTCACACTTGTTTTTCTAAATACTAACGAGTTTGCCATTAATAGAATAA